TTTGGCTTGCCTGCAAGGACGGCGGGCACAGTGCGGGCGTCTCACCCACACGTCAGTCTCGGGGTTTCCAGGCCAGGCTTTGCAGGACCCGCGTTCCTCCCGGCGCTCTCTGTTAGCTTTGGGCTGATCGGGCCTGACAGGGCCGCCGCGGGCTCCGCTGCAGTCTGTCATTAGGAGCCCGGGAATGATCCGGGCGGTTGGGACTGTAGGAGGTTAATTTGGCGTAAACCTCACATCCAAAGATTTCTCAAGATGGGACATGTCATGTCTGTGTCCAGCCATACTTCTGTTCAAGTTCTTGTTTACATTGTAAATATGACCTTTACAGTTATCTTTCAAAGCGCCTGGTGCTTTGAAGAGGACCCCTGAGGAGCCAGGGAGATCTTAGACTGTTAAGGAGGTTCCACAGGAATGCCAGTGCACATAGGAATGTCCCTTTTCCTTCTGGTGTGTGTGTGTGTGTGCTTTTTGTTGTTTTTTTTTTGTGGGGTTTTTTTGGTTAATCCTCACCCAAGGACATTTCTTCCTTTGATTTTTTTTAGAGAGAGCAGAAAGGAGGGGAAGAGAGACGCATCGATTGGTTGCCTCCCACCCCAAGTGGGGCTGGGAAGCAAACCTGCCACCGAAGTTAATAAATACCCTTGATTGGAATTGAACCCTCAACCTTTCAGTCCCAGGGTCAGTGCTCTAACCCCTGAACCCAACCGGCTAGGCTCCTTCAGTATAAAGTCACATAGCAAGCCTGTCAGCTGGCGGCCGACTGTGGGATGGGAGTGAGGAAAGGTAATCACGGGTAATCAGAGGTGTATCTGCACACCTTTTAGCCAGGCACCGTTAAGAGTTTTCTCTATTGCAGTTAAGATAATCCCTCGGTCCGTTCTGCCTCTACATTCTCTCATGGAACAGACCAATTAGTGCACGTTGCTGACTGATTTTAACTGCCTCCCCACCCGAGATCAAGAGCCAACCCAGTTTTCCTGACCTGAAGCTGGGTATCTCCCTGCTTCGTAGACATTTGAGTAAGAGGACATAGCGATGGAGTGTACTCCTCTGACTTAGGTTAACCGTTTAGCCGACCCTGCCAACTGCCAATGGCACCAACCAACTCTGTGCCTCCATCAGAGGCCCCTTCCCCAGGCCCCAGCCTGCCCCGGGGACGCGTCCTTCCCGTGGAGAGCCGCAGCCCTGGTGGCCAGTGGGGCCCGGGCCGCCCGTCCAGGGGCACTGAGGGCGGCACGGCCACGAGTGTATACTTCAGCCGTTGGGTGTGCGCTTCAGGTTTGTCCTTTCTGTTCTGCTAACGACTCTGAGACAAAGGGAAAGATCGCGAACCTTCGCTTGAACCGACTGGTATCATAGCAACTAGCACTTCACCTTTCGCTGGTCCCCAGCTCATACATGCTGCAGTATTTGCGCGCATTAATAATTCATCGCCAAGTGCCAGCTTTCCGTGCGCTGTCAGACGGTGTCAGGGACGGAACATGCTGTGCTATCTCAGATGTCATCTCCCGGGCTGGGGAGGGCACGAGGCATCAGGAAAGAGGACTAGTCAGGGGCTTTGGGAAATTCCTGAAAGTGAGGTGCACGCTAGCCACTGATTTATCGCATTTTTCTTGTAAAGTAGGGGGTAGAATCCATGCTGATCAAAGTTAACTTGGTAATGTGCTCCAGACATAAGGCAGGAGTTTGGTTGTGGAAATAACGCACAGGTGGTAATCGCTCACCTCCATTCAGGCAGCAAAGAGAATGATTAACAGCCTTGGTGCTTGGTCACGTGGATCAGGCTCCAGCGTGAGCCCTGCAAACTCAGGGTTAGAAAGACACCTGTGTGGTCCCCACGCGCGTGCTCCCATCCCAGGCTGGCCTTGGCCTGGCGCACAGTAGGGGCTGAGCATTTGACGCCAGCTCTGAAGGATGGCAGTGTGGGCTCCGAGGCCTGCATGGCCTCCCACTTCCCTCAGCACCTCGCTTTCCTGGCATTTTGTAGTTGTCGCAGTAACTGTAGTATCAGACCTGTAATTGGTAAACTTTTCTTAATAAAGAATATAGGCTTGGGTCTTGGAGTGAGAAATACCATAACACATTGGGGTTCGTTGACAGAGGCCAGATCTGTCCCTGACTAGGCAAGGAGTCACATGTTTTAAACAAAACATGGATCTGACCCTTCCCTCTCAAAAGGAAGCTTGATTGAAACAAACCTAGGTCACACTCTACCAGTTACTTACAGTGAAGTATACTTCCCTGAAAAAGAGTGGTTTACAACCACAATTAATTGGGAAAAATTTGTCACTTAGCCATGTTTGGATTCTTTTGTCTCTCTTTTTTCTTTTTTCTCTTAAATACAAACCAGCAGCTTCGACATCCCTCCAAACTACTTTGCAGAGGGTGCAGGGGAAGAAGCCCAAACCTTTTTTTTTTTTTTTTAAGAATATGCAGCCCCAAACCTTGCTCTTGTGAAGGATAGGCTAGAACTGCTTTCTGTTTGGTGTTCTGACTTAACACCGTGAGGCGCTGGCGAGTGCGAATTTTGCACAGACAGGAAGGGACCTGCTGTCATGTCCCATCCCTGGCCAGGGCAGAACACAGACCTGCATGGGGAAGGCATTCAAGAAATGCTTGTTGAATAAGTTAATGCCGCCAGACTAATTTCAGGGGAGGGGACATTCATCAGTTTTAGAAACTTAGAGCAAATAAAACTTTGAAAACCATTAGGAGTTTGTTAATCTTCTATCCCCTACATCTATATGGTGCTGGGACCTGGCTTAGTCATTGAACACCTGCAAGCAGCAGTGTGGCGCGTGAACGAGGGGCGCCGTGAGAGCCGACCCGCTCCGTGTCTGTGTGTTTGTGGTCACGGCCAACCACCGAGAGTCTGGGGACACTGGCCGCGTGGCTGTCACCGTCAGTGTCTGGATCTGTCAGGCCACCAAGTAGCATATCTTAGTGGTATTTTACACCGTGTTTCATTTCTTGGGATTTAACATTGAGTTCTTATACTTCAGAACTTAAAAATAGGGCCCTTCATACTAAATCTATCTGCATCTTTCAAGAAGAAGCAAATTTTTAATACTTAAAAATGATTTCTGGATAACATCAAGAATAAACTTTGTGATTTTTGGAGTATAAATCTGGAGATAATTAATGATAACCAGATCCTTACAAGAACACTTATAGACTTGCTTATTTAAGGATAGGCTTTCTGTTGGAATATAGAAGCCTCTTTGTGATGTTACTCGATTGCAGTTCTGTGGTATAACAGCCTTATGTAGGCTATAGAGCCTAAAGGTGAAGCTATAGTGACCTAAGGATCACAGCTTGCCCTTTTTGGCTGTCAAGCAGACCAGAATCAGAGCTGTTATCACCATTTCCTCAACCATTCCCGCTTACCACTACAAAGAAATAAAGTCAAGCTGAAGCATGGACCCGTCATACACCCAGCTCTGTGGCGGAGTCCCATCACTTGCTTCCACAGTGCTTGTCACAGTGTAGCAATCTCCCTTCATGGCTGAAAGTCTGTATCTTTCCACTTAGTCTGGGCTAGCGAGACATACAGAGTAATATTAGGTAAACTGCTTCCATAGAGAGGTCTTGGAAGCTCCAGAGACATGAGCACTTGGAAGCAGAAGGGGCTGTGATGCACATTACGCTCTGAAGTCGGTAGGAAGCCACGGAAGGTAGAGCGTCAGGGAAGAGCTGGTGGGTGAAACCTGGCCGGTGAGAATAAGCGTGACATAGGACACAGCAAGGAGGCCAGACAAATGGGGTCAGAGTTGGGAGGCAAGGGGTGTCACATGCCGGTGCAGAGTCAGACTAGGGAAAACCTTCGGACATGTCACCAAGACTCTTTTGGCCAATTGCATGCATCATGGTTTGGAACATGAAAAACCAAAATGGATGGAACGACTGTTTTTGATCTTGTACGTGCGAAAGCTTTGATAACACATTAGCTATTTATGCAGAAATTCAGCGATCACTTAGCCAGAATCTCCTCCGAGGGGGGAATGCAGCTCTTCTTACAGTCCATTGTGTGCAGCGTTTGGGTTTTTAACTTCATAAATCACGGGGAGCTGTGCTGGCAATGGGCTATAACTCAACAGTAGACAGATTGCTCTTTGCTGCTTTCTTTTAAGAAGCAGGTTATAAAACTGTTGGGAGCCTGGTAGAGTAGTTCATAGATCATCTTAAGCAATTTGATGTAAAAAAAAAAAAAAAAAAAAAATACAGCCTTGCATCTCAAAGGCACGAGAGCCTGAGGGAGAAGAGATTTTACAGAGGCCCTTCCTGGAACTGGAGCTGCGGGTTCTGCTACCTGAGTGGCCGGTCACCTGCCTCCCTGGGAAAGCCACCCCCCACCCCCAGTGCAGTGCGGTCAGTGAGAAGTTTTTGTCAGTGCAGGGTTAGCATTATGACAGTTTTCATTAAAATGATTCTATACTTTTCCCTGGTTCTTCTTAACATATGAAAACACTTTCCCTCCTGTTAGCACCCTTTGGCAATAAAGCTTCGCATGCTGGAAAAGAAGGCTGGGATATCCCTCCATGGGTTTGCCACTGCTTAGAGGTGCCCACTAGGTAAACACGGACACAAGGCACCTGTCTGTGGGAGCGGGGAGGCCCTCCCGGCCTGAGAGCCACACTCACGTGTCATGAGCATAAGAAGACTCGGACCTGGGAGTCGTTCAGATCAGCAGACAACACTCACCTGAAAGTGTTGGAGCCCTATAGGAACGGCTTTCTTTTCATCTGGACGTTGTCCCCAAAGGCACTGGGGTCACAGTCTTATTGGTCATGGCTTATAACAGGCCTGCCACGCCAGTGACACGGTGCGAGGTTAACCCACTCTGAAGGGATCTTCTCCTTAGTGGTCGGTGTAAACTCTGTTCCATTATGCTGGGTTGGGTTTTTTGTGTTTGTTTTTTGTTGTTGTTGTTGTTGTTGGGTTGAGTTTTAGATGAAACTGCTTGTGTCCGTTCTGAAGCCTGTGTCTCCCTTTTCTTTCAGACCACGAAGGCTTTTCTTCCTACGATGCTGGAGATTAATCACGGCCACATCGTGACGGTTGCGAGCTCCTTGGGATTGTTCAGTACCGCTGGAGTCGAGGTTTGTCAGACGGGAAGCATTTCCTTCACTCAGTTGCATTCTCCGGTGGTGGGTACCCCCAGGTCCTAAGAAGAGTACCTGCTGCCCCTCACCTGGGTGTGCCAGGGCCGCCTAGTGTGATGGGAGGGCAGCGGGAGGAGACGGTGCCAGGCCAGCCCTCTGTGTGCCCCGTGCCTGCTAGCAGTCTTGCTTGATGTTGGTAGAAGGCACAGGTTCAAGAACGAAAGCCGTGGAGGGCAGGGGCAGTGTCACGGGGAGCAGATAAGTGAGGCCAAAGGTTGACCTTCTGTGTTGGTCAACTTGCCCAAAGGGAGCCAGCTGTCTGTCTCAGCTGGTCAGATGGGATGGCTCTGGCAGATGGGAGGGGTCCTGCCTGGTCAGTGTGTGGAACTGATCTCCTTCACCACATTCAAGTCATAAAGCATGTGCATGTGTCTTACCCCGTGCTGTGCTCCCGCGGTGCCTGCAGTGTTTACACGGAAAGCATCGCCCCATGCCAATGGGCCCAGACTAGACAACGTCTGCGTTCTGCGTGGCCATCCCTAAGTTTAACAGTGGGCAATGGAGAACTTGCTTCTTATACTGTGAGTCCTTAGGCTGAGTTCTAGTTTAAGCTCACAGGTAGAGTTACCACTTTTACTTGTACTTCACCCGAAAGAGAAAATTAGGTCATAACAACTTATAACCTAAGCTAGACACACCTTTGTTCTCCCAGCATTAATTTAACTGTTTTTCAGTTTCCTCTGGGGAACAAGAGACCATTTGTAAATTTTCCAGACACTTCAAAGTGAACCTCTCTCCATTTTTAACTCCAGTCCGCTGGCTCTCATAGACTCCTTTGTGGTAACTCCCCCCCCCACCCCCAAGTAATCTGATACTGCATTGATGTGGCAAAAAGTTTTCATGTGTTTCTGCTGTTGCTTTGAAAATATTATTTCTGCACTGAACCACATCAGATATCTGTCTTTTAAAATGCTTTCCTTTTCTTTGCTTAGTCACCTGTAACCTTTCGTAGCAAACGTAACCAGAGTAACAGGCCCGGGAGAAGGCTGGGTTTGGTCTGGGGCCTGCCGTGTGCTCAGCTCTTGCCCTCTTCTCTCCCTCTCACAGGATTACTGTGCCAGCAAATTTGGAGTCGTGGGTTTCCATGAGTCCCTGAGCCACGAGCTAAAGGCTGCTGAAAAGGACGGAATTAAGACAACACTGGTGTGCCCGTACCTGGTAGACACCGGCATGTTCCGAGGCTGCCGCATCAGGTCCGTGAGAACCTTTCTTACTGCTCATAAAAAGCTGTTTTAAAAGTCACCTTTCCGTATCGGGAAAACGTGAAATTGGATCCTAGACGTCAGCTTGCACTTGGGCTCTCATTTGACAGTTAACCTGTAACTTCCACTGGGCAGAGGCTTTGTAAAATGGAGGCGAATGAGATGAACAGGCGGGGGCTCGTGCCACACGGTGTCACCCTGCAGGCGTCCGTCTAGAAGCGTCAGACCGAACGTAGCTTCTCCAGGCCCTCGTGGAGGAGACGCAGCTCCCAGGATTGCCCTGGGGGCCCCCCTCCCCTGTAGGAGGCGTTTTACTTCCTCAGTATCCGTGTGCGAATGTCAGTGTCGGGGAGTTCCTCTCTAGGCTTGGGAGCGTCCTTTCTGCAGAGAGTGTAGCCCGATTCGCTCCAGAATGAGAAGAAACGACTCGGTTTGCTAGGAGTGAAAGGAGGCCTGTGGGAGTCTGAATGTGAAGTCTCATCTGACTTTGCCGAGCAGAATAAACACCGAGAATCATTAAGAGGGTACTTGGATGACGGGCTTGAGACCTCTGTTGGATTCATTTGAAAAGCAAAGGAAGATAACCGAACATGTGCCCTGTTGGTCACATGCTGAACCTGACCAGGCAGGGAGGCAGGTGGAAGGTGACTTCAGTCCTTGCAATCTCAGGCTGACCCTTCCCCGTGTGTGTGTGTGTGTGTGTGTGTGTGTGTGTGTGTGTGTGTGTGTGGTTGTCCCTCCTTCTAGTTAGGAATCAGTTGCTCAGAGTCTGAGGAGCCCTCCTTCCTATGTAGCATCATGGTGGGTGTGCAGAGCGGTGTTGGGACAAAGGAAAGAGAAAGGAGTAATGCATTTCAGTAGGCTATTTCTGTATGCACCGTGCTGAATTCAGCTGAAGGTCAAAGTCACATCACGTCAGAGAGCCCTGGAGAACACACCTGGCTTCCCAGCCCGCGCCTGGGAAGGGCTTCTGCTGGGTCCGGAAGGCTGTGCAGGGCTCTCTCCACTACCTGAGCTGCCCCGCACACCCCCTGGCATCCTGTTTGGGCTTAGTGTTGGTTATGCTAAACGCCCTCTCCTTTTTATGTTGAAAGAAAAAAGAAAAATAATTTAAGGTATTTAAACTTGACTCACTTTAGAGAAAAGCAAACCAATCCCGCCCTTTTTAAAACTTGTTTTCCAGACTCTGCCTTATTCATAGTAGGACAACTTATAAAATACAGAAAAGCGAAGTGAAGAGAAAACTGAGGCAAAAGCTTGTGGCTCAGATAACATCGCTGTTCATGCTGTGAAATGAAGCGCGGTCTTGCCCATTGTGTGCTCACCTTCATTGCCTTTTAATTAACTTCCAGGAAGGAGATCGAGCCTTTCCTGCCCCCTCTGAAGCCCGACTACTGCGTGCAGCAGGCCATGAGGGCCATCCTCACCGACCAGCCCATGATCTGCACGCCCCGCCTCATGTACATCGTGACGTTCATGAAGAGGTGACTGAGGCCCTCCCCCACCCCCACCCTCCCCACCCTCCTCACCCCCCCCTCCCGGCCACTGCCCTCCGGACCCGCCCCTGCCTGGGCTCACACCTCGCATCCGCTAATCGCTGTGGCTTTCCCTTGCAGCATCCTTCCTTTCGAAGCCGTGGTGTGCATGTATCGGTTCCTAGGAGCGGACAAGTGTATGTACCCCTTTATCGCTCAAAGAAAACAAGCCACAAACAATAATGAGGCGAAAAACGGCATCTGAGAATCGTTTTTGGGTGGAGCACCATTTCTCTTGGAAGATGGTCAAGATGTTTCCGTCCACCCACATCAGCATTACGGACATTCTCGGGATTCTAAATTCGTGTGGACTTTTTTTTTTTTTTAATCAACTTTTTAAAAAATAAAGTGTACATTAACCAACTAGAGTACTTGGAAAAATGCTATCAGCAAAGGTGAGGTCTTTGCCAGTGGGGTCCTTTGTAGGCAGAACCCTGAAACCAGTCCGTTCTCTCAGACAAGCACTGTGGCGTCTCCAGGCTCCCGTGGCTTTTTAACGAGCAGAAAGTCTAGAGATGGTAACTACGGTGTGTTTCACGTGTGTGGCTTTTTTTCATTCCCATAGAGTTTATTAATTCTTGTCATTAAACTCGAGTCAGTCGACACCCTTGCAACTCCAAGGACCGATAGTGCGATGTGTTCTCCTGTTTCCTGGGTTTTCGTTTTGCACAGCCTGTGCGGCCTCTCGTGGCGTTTATTCAGTTCTTTTGAAAAGGAATTTTGAAATCTCCATCAGTTTGAATCAAGCGATGTTTGATTGTTTCGGAAAGATAATGGGTCTCTTTCTTAAAGTCACATGACTGAAGTGGTAGCTGAATTTTTAAACTTTCTCTCTGAAACCTTTCCTTTAAGTATCTATCACTGGGGACCGAATTATCAAAAAAAAAAAAAAAAAAAAAAAAAAGATCATGCGTTTCCTACTTATGAATTCTGCATCTAGAATGTGTCCTTTCCTCAGGAAGTCGCTGTGTTTCATTTCTTTGGGTGGGTGGACTTTTATCTAGAATACATAGCAGATCAGCAAAGAGAACTTTTCTAAAAATGGGGATTCTAAATTTAAAAAAAAAAATCCCCATTTTTGTGCCAACTACGATGAGTGAGGGGGGAAATCTTACACTATGGAGTACAGATGGAAGGTTGTAAAGATTCTTTTGAAATTTTTATTCACCTTGTACAACAGCAAATGACATTTTTACAGTATTTTTTTGTAAAGCAAACTATTTTGTGCCTTGAATTTGGTAAATGTGTATTCGTGAGATGTTGTAAAAGTGAACTTCTACCTCTGTATCTAAATGTATACCATCCACTTGTAAATGACTATAAACTATTATGTGATTGCCTTTTTTTTTTTTTTTTTAAGAATGTCTTGTTTAAATAGCAACCAATGTTTAAGGCTATTAAAATAAGCCATCTTTTACTAATGAATTGGGAAGTTTTATAAAGGACTGATTAAATTTAAAGAATTAACTTACATACAACTGAGTGTGTGGTTTATTAGTTGTCAGCATTGTTGTAGGGAAAACCATGTTCTTTTTTTCTCTGCCATATGATGCCTTAAAGAAAAATGTTTGAATGGGATGGTGTCGGAACAGACATGAAGAGCTTAGGGTGCCATTTATCCCAATCTCCACTGTTACCATTTGCCTAGATTAGATCCCTTATCAGGGGCTTGTTTATACTAAAAGTGGGGAAAGAAAAAGAAGCGCATTTGCTATGAGTCGGCCTGCCCCACACAGATCAAATCTGCTCTGTGTCCACACAGGACAATCCTAGCTCAGGCGCTTGTCTCATCGCTAGTCTTTATGAGAAGTAGCTTCATGTTATGTTGAGAGTTCTCTTTATCAATGACTAGAGGCCCAGTGCACACAAAATTTGTGCACAGGGCAATGTGTTTGGGGGGGGGGGGGTTGTCCCTCAGCCCAATCTGCACCCTCTCCAATGGGACATCCCTCTCACAATCCAGGACTGCTGGCTCCTAACCACTTACCTGCCTCCCTGATGGCCCCTAACCACTCTGCCTGCCAGCCTAATAGCTTCCTAATCACTCCCCTGCCAGCCTGATTGACACCTAACTGCTCCCCTGCCGGCATGATTGTCCCCAACTGCCCTTCCCTGCTGGCCTGATTGCCCCCAACTGCCTTCCCTTGCCAGGCTGAGGGGACTGGGGACTGAGGCTGGACAAGGCGGGGCTGAGGGGACTGGATACGGCCATCTTCTGGCTGTGGGTGCCGTCATCTTATGAGTGCATGACAATCAGCATATTTGCTCTTTATTGGCTGTGGGTGCAACCATCTTTGTGAGGGTGTGATGATCAATTAGCATATTCCCTCTTTTTAGATAGTATAACCAAGCCCCAGGCCATTGAAACAACTGAAGCACCAGGTTGCCTCTTCAATTCCATTTTGAGTTTAAAGAAGTACTTTAAGATAGTCTCATAACAGTGTGGGTGGAGACATGTCCAAAGCAACTTAGGTTTGCCTGCATCAGCCGGCACCCACCAACCACCCTGGAGAAATCATTTCTACTCAAATGACCCACTTCTCCATCACAGGACTAAGGAACCATCCCTACGTTTAATTTTATTCTCCCGTGTTGTCATTTAAACTGTTGCTATTTTTGTTTGTTGCTGCCCTTGTAAGGTTGTCCATCTCCGAGTTCAATAAGCCTAATTCCTTTCCCTTTTGTGTAGAATTCAATTCCCACATTACAGCCTAGTTTAATTACAGCCACCGCTCTCCTTTGAACGCTGTCCAACTTCCCCGGCCGCGCCGTTGGGAGGGGATACGGTAGATGCAAGGTTAGGGCTCCAAGCCCCCGCCTCGCCGTAGTGTTTTCTCTCAGCATCAGGGTCCTGGCCTGACGCTGGGTACGTGGCCATCGTTCTCCCCAATGACGTGAGCTCTCTTCCCGTCGAGCCCGCGTGCTGCTGTTGCTCACTCTAGTAATAGCCAAGGCGACTGTTTTTGCTGACTGTTCCTCTACACCCCCACCTTGACATTACTTCTGACTTTGAATACGCTCTCTTTGCTGTCATCTGGCCTCGTCAGGCTGCTGTTCAGGGCCACTGCACTCAAGGCTGACCCCTTAGGGAGACCACTTCTGTCTCCCAGCTATGTGACAGTGCTCTCTCTCTCTCTCTCTCTCTCTCTCTCTCTCTCTCACACACACACACACACACACACACACACACACACACACACACTCCTTTCAGTCGGTTTAATGATAATCACATTGTGTGGGACCCAGGAATTATGAAGCCGGTGGAGATAAATTCCAGCCATTGTTCCTCCTGCTCTGCTAGGTCTGCTGCTCTGTCACAGGAGATTAGCTGAGCTTGACAGGGCTCAACTGCGTGCAGCCAGGCTGAGTTTTTTGTTTTTTTTTTTGTTCTTTCTTTCTTTTTTTCTTTAAGTATCCTGTTTCTTTGAAAGACTATACCTTTCAAATTTTCCCCAAGTTAAAAAAAAAAAAAGTCAAATGTCTTTTTCAAAGTTTTCTTTTCCAACTGGCAGAAATGCTCTCAAATTGGCATTGACCTGAACCTTGGATATTTGCTTTTGCCTCCTACAAAATTTAAAATCAGTGGGGGCTGGGGAAGCAGGGTAGAGCTTTCTGTGCCAAATCTATGGCCTGTGTCTGATTTAAAAAGTGGAACCAAGCAAGCAAGGCTGGGATGGGCCCGCTGGGCCGGGACCCTGGGCCACTGAGCAGACCGCCAGCCTCAGTTCTGTCCCGGGGGCTCCGGGAGCTTACAGTGAACGCACAAGGTCACATCCACGCATCTCTCAGTGCTGAGGTCTCAGCAAGGGGCGGGCAAGAGGTGGCTATGGCAATAAGCCTTGAAGGTGTGCAGGAGAGTGTCGATGGGGAGGGGAGCCGGGCCCGGGAATGGCATCTCCAGAAAGGCCAAAGAGGGAACGGCAAGATCACACTCCTTAGACCTCACACAGGACGTGGGCAGAGAATGCCAGGCACTCCCTGAGGGAGCCCTGTCTGTCTCGAAAACAGCCTTCACTCCAGGGGAAGGAGCGGCGCGCTTCATTCGGCAGAGAGGAAAGGAGCTGCCTGGGGGGTTTCTGGCAGCGACAGGAGCAGTTGTGAGTTTAACAGAATCAATTCGGTGGCTGTGAAAAGTCTGGGGACATGGAAGCCGGGGACCAGTTGGGAGGGAAGCTGAAGCCGGAGTGCCTCAGGGAGGTGGTGAGAGGGAAAAGGAGATGGCCTGAGAGTGCGTGGACCAATGACCGCGGCTGCGCCAGGGACTTAACTTTTCGCTCTCTCTCTTTAAAAAAAACACACAAAATATTTTATTGACTTTTTACAGAGAGGAAGGGAGAGAGATAGAGAGCTAGAAACATCGATGAGAGAGACATCGACCAGCTGTCTCCTGCACACCCCACACCGGAGATGTGCACCCAACCAAGGTACATGCCCTTGACCAGAATCGAACCTGGGACCCTTCAGTCTGCAGGCCAATGCTCTATCCATTGAGCCAAAGCAGTTTCAGCTTTTTCTCTCTCTTTTCTTAAAAAAAAAAAAAAAAAATATATATATATATATATATATATATATATATATATATATATATATATATATTCTATTGATTTCAGATAGGAAAAGAGAAGGAGAAAGAGAGATCAAAATATCCATGATGAGAGAGAATCATTGATCGGCTGCCTCCTGCACACCCCAACCTGGGGATCCAGCCCAAAACCTGGGCATGTGCCCTGGTCAGGAATCGAACCTGACCTCCTGGTTCATAGGTCAATGCTCAAGCACTGAGCACAGCAACTGGGCGGGACGTAGCTCTCCTGACAAGCTCACTCACCAGGAGCCTAAGCACAAACCATACATCTGATCTCAGAAATTCTGCGTGGAGGTGACAGGAACAGGCAGGCAGGACCTCTCGTCCCGGTGCCCGAGAAAGAAGCTGGTGCAAAGATTCTGGAGTCCCTGCAGAGAAGCTCAGGAGTGAGCCTGGGAGGGGGAAACTCAGAATGAGAAGGCCCAGGGACCCAAACGTGGGGAATGTGAGGGAATTGCCACGGAAAAGACAAGTCTCGAAAGGTGACGGGAACAAAGTCAGGAGGGGGACTTCCTCCTCCCAAGGAGAAGCCAGACGAATAGAAACAGTATCTCCGCTGCCAGGACCTAATCTCCCGTCTGAGTCACCCTTAAGGAACCTCAGTCTGACCCGAGAAGAAG